CATTTTTTATAATTGTATCATCATTTTTCATAGGGGGCCCATATCATAGTTAGAAATAGTTGACTTGACAAGTGAAACTATTGAGTAAATAACTCCCATTGAACATGCTCTAATGTGTGTTCATTAAGGCATTTCTTCTACTACGCACTACTCCCTCCGTTTCTGAAACAAGTTCCACCTTTCCTTTTCGGGCAGATTCAAAATTAAGTTCCACTTTCAAACATTTCCTTATTTGGCAAATTATCTACATCAAAACAGTGTGAAATAGTGTTCAAACAGTGCCAAACAGTGCTCAAACAGTGCCAAACAGTGCACTCCACAGTAAAGTCAAATTTATTTTCTTAATATGTGTGAAGTCAAATGTGGAACTTGTTTCAGAAACGGAGGGAGTATATAAAAACGTACTCGTAATATAATAAAATATTGTATAACAATGAATAATTGTCCACATCAATACGTATGGTGGCACTAATACTTCGCTCTAACTCTATATTCACGTGTTCGATATGTATCTGATACTGATACTCACCAATACACATCATGTACATATTAGGTATATATCACTACCAAAAAAAGTCATCATTGGGTCGGATTTTGGCACAGATCGCTTCACAAAAATCCCAGACTATCGCTTTTGGCTCAGATTAGGCACGAATATTAAATCCGACGCACCTGGCTCGTGCCAAATGCTTTGGCACGGAAAACATCATCCGCGCCAACTCTTGGCTCGGTATTGGGCACGGAATTTCAGAGACAACAACACCGATTACTCCCCCAAAAGTTTGGCTCGGATTTAACTTGGCACGGATATTGGCACGGAATAAACCGGGTAGCCCAAATCTTTACCCGTTTGTTGGCTCGGATAAGTTCGTGCCAAATATTTAACCAAAATTCATTCGGGATTTTGGAATGGACGTAATCCGTGCCAAATTTAATTTAAAAAAAAAACTGTACACTGTACATATGTACGGAATACCGTACATATGTACGGTGTACAATTTTTTTTCAAATCATTATAAACAAAACATTTAACTTGAATCATATAGAGCAAATGAATGATAAACATTATAGAGCAAATGAAAGAGCACAAATTAACAGAACATTATTATGTTACAGTAGTCCAGGCAGATAAACCACTGCCAAAATAGAAGTAGAAATGGCAAATAAATTGCCAGAAGATGTCCAGAACCAGTACAGAAATTTAAACACTTTGTTCATTACACAAATAGATCAGACAGCCGCACTTCATTCGAATCATGTAGCTCATTCATTTGGGCGGAGGTCGGGGTACGAAAAGACGAGAAATCAGGTAGCGGGATGCTCGTAATATGGATATGATCAAATTAATTTAAAAACAGAATGGTCGGAATTTACATACCTTAAGTACAACGATGATACCAAGTAATACGAGTATAAAGTAAGAAATCCAAGTAGAAACCTCCAGATATCAAGTAATATAACTTCCAACTTCTATGCAGAATTTATCATACACAAATATTAAAGAGATCATTTTGAGAGATGTAGTATGTTTCACACACCAAGCATGTATTTGTAGAATTAGTAGGCACGGATCTTGAGACGGAAATACACCAGCCAAAACGTACCAACGGCCTTCATTGTCTAGGATATTGGCACGGAAATTCATTGAGGCAGAATGTGGGACGTGCAAATTAACGATTATATTTTGGCACGGCTTTTGGGTCCGATATACGCCTGCCAACATAACAGCTACATTTTGGCACGGATATAAGGACGGAAAGGGGGTGAGCTGAATTTGATGCGGCGTTGGCGCGGATGTAGACACGGAAACGGTTGGCACGGAATTGAACCGCACCAACTTCAAAGAAAAAGCGCCATCCGTTGGGTCGGGCATAGTTCTCTGCCAAATTGTCTCGGAATTTGCGAAGGATATAGCCACAAGCCAACTGATTTGAAGTTTCTTCGGTCTTGGCACGGAAGTAGGGTCGGAAAGTCTGAGACAACCTACGTGACACGGATTTATCCGTGCCAGAGGCGGAAAAAATCGACTATTTGGGCTTTCCGCGCCAATATCTGCGCCAAAATTGTCTAGGATATGTTTCGTGTCTAAATTCGTGTCTATAACGAGTTTTTTTGGTAGTGTATCCTTATGTAATTTAATAAAAGTTTTGCACTTATTTTCAAAATATAAATATTTCTGATACACGTATTCATGGACGGATACACGTAATTACTCTTCAATTACATCTCTTATCGGGTAAAGTCATAACATACCTTTTTCTTCTTCTCTCATACACTTAATCAATGTCAATTCACATTACTTCTAAATCAATTGTGTTTGATATGTAAGTGGGCATAAGGTGTGAGACATTGGCGAAAATGATTTTGGAAGTATGGAAGATATTGAAATACTTGAATTTGTCATCTTGTCATTTGTTAAATGACTTAGATCTAAATGCAAATTACAAATCAAATGTTATTTGAATTTAAATTGAAATATCAGTGCTTTAATTTTTATTTTTTAGTCTAATCTTTGAAATGCTATTATGATAGTTATTTTTTGGTACTACTATTATTTTATTTATGAACCTCTGGATTATACGATAGTATATATTTACAAATTATAGTCTATATTTTTATTATTTTTAAATATACCCCATACTCGTATTCTTTAATTTTTGAAGTTATCGTACACGTTTTCTCGTATCAGCCTATTCACATCTCTGCAACATAAATTACTACAATACAAAAACTGAAATTAATCTGCTAACAAGGAAAATAGGCATCCGGTTATTATTAATTCACTCGTTTCAACATCACTCTAACGGTATGAGTCGTATGACCAAATACATATCAAGAGACAATTAGATTTAAAAAGGTCAGCATTGCACTCCATATTAGACAACGTTGTCTTGTAATTAACCAACGATAACTATCGGTTTAATAGTTACATTAGTGGTCAATTACTCAGTATTTAATTACATTAATATATATGCAGATAATGCGGAACATTACTTAAAAAAGTGTCATTCTCAATACATTTTTGAGCTTTGACAAATGAACAATGCAAAATTATTATACTCAGCACGTGTAGTCACATTTGTAAAAGTTTATTTATATATCCAATTTTATATCCTAAAATAATGCATCCGTGCTAGAAGGCCCACGATGTAACGTATAGCGTGTATTATTAATGTGAAATTATTGAATTTTAAAATTCAATTTTAAATATAAATTGAATTTTAATCTCAATGTCAAGTACCGAAATTGAAACTAGAGACTTATAATTAGCACCCCTATTTACCAGTAGAACAAGTGAACAACGCCCACTAACGTCCATAACAAAATCATGGATACATGCACCATACATATAATATGCGTATGGATGAGTATCGATATCGAATACATAAAAAACGAACAAGGTAATGTCTTGTTATTCTTCGCATCCAATAAGCATTGTAAATGTGAGGTAAGAATATACTCCCTATGTTATTAGTCAAATTTGACTTTTCAAGTCAATGATATCTAATTTTGATCGATTATATATTTATATACAAAAGTATTGATATTACGAAAAATGATATAAAAATGTTTTTTGTCAAAAATATTATCGTAAAAGTATAAAATTACTAAATTTTACATAAATATAGTAGTCAAAACAATTAATCAAAGTTTACCATCTTTGACCGGAAAAGTCAAAGATGGTTAACTAAAATGGGATGAAGGTAGTACAAAAAATACCCCTTATATCCCTAAATTTTTTTTCTTACTTACCTTTTTAGGATATTTAAAAAAATCTTCCTATTTCCAATTTTAGAAAATTTTGTGTGACTAACATTCATTTTATTTTTTCTTACTCAATCATACCATGCATTTTCACTTTGTTGCCACTTTCTTGAACTCCAATTCAAATCAAACGGGTAAGAATATTATGGGACGGAGGAAGTATAGTAAAAATGAACTCTTAAAGTCTGTTTTGTGACTATATTTTTCGGCTTATCAAGCTTATTAGTCAACTTTTTAATCAAATAAGTAATTGTTGATTTCGCTCTTTGAATTGTGTAATAACAATAAAAAGTAGGGTTGAAGTCATTTTTCTTGTTATATTGGCTGAAATTACTTTATACTAGTATGATCATTTTAGCTATATTTTCATATAACTTTTCTTTATTTTATTAGTAAAAATATATTTTAAATATAATTTATTCACAAATCAGTAGAATCAGCCAATACAACCACTTCAACCAGAACTTCATAAATTTCAATATAATCGGCCGATTCAACCGATTTCGGTGTTACCAAACTAATTCTTAACTTCACACAACAAAATCTTAAACCACAATTTCCCAATTCTTTTTCGAAGGAGAATTTCCCAATTCTAAGAGTCTAGGATGTCCATGCATAATTTATTTTTACTCCCTCCGTCCCGTTTTACTTAGCCAAACTTGACTTTTAAAGTCAATGACATCTAACTTTGACTGATTATATGTTTATATAGAGAATGTATTAATAATATGAAAATGATATGAAAATGTTCTTTGTTAAAAATACTACCATAAAGTATAAAATCATTAAATTTTGCATAGATATATTAGTTTAAATAATTGGTCAAAGTTTACCACCTTTAACTGGAAAAGTCAAAGATGACTAAGTAAATTGGGACGGGGGTAGTAATATTTATATATAGACACAGTATCGGTGAGCGTAGCTCAACTGGTAGCAAGGGAGTACCACAAGGATTAGGTCACGGGTTCGAATTCCGGCAACTGCGACGAGGGATTACTATGCTAAAAATGCATAGGGCCTTTGCAAGTAGCGGGGACAGAATCTCACTCTCTATCTGTAAGATTGAGATTATAATCCAATTTACATCCTCCTAACGTACCATTCGATCGGGGTTGAGGGGTCTCAGGGATGGGGTGTCATCCTTATATATATATATATATATAGACACAGTCACACACTTGTATTAAATAATGCCAAAATCCCTACGGGATAAAGTTGTATATAGACCACACCATAACTTTTCATAAATGAAATAATGCAATCAGAAATATTATACGAGAGTAGAAGATAGCTGCCATACATGTTCATTTATTAATAAGAAATATATATGATGCATTTGCGGGGCACACGTAATAACGCTTTGGGTCATTTATAACGCTCCGCATGTTTCTGCGCCCTTTCTGATCTTCTTTTCCACCTTCTCAGCGAATGTCTTGTGATTGAATTCCGTCGGGGATTCACCGGCAATATCGCCTGAACGATATCCCAAAATAGAAATTCTAGAATTTCCGGTGCCTAAAAAAGATCGAAACTTTCTGAAATTAATAGGAACCGGTATGAGCAGCGTGCCTAGCAGTGTTGAGACTGTAAATGCCGCCGCCACCGCCATTGTTACAGCCGAGAGCAGAGTTCAGCCAACTTCGATTCGGGTAAGTACACAGATCATATGAATACACATACGTGTTCATGGTTTTCTATGCATGATTAGGGTTGTCCAGTTTTTATATGATTTTTGTTATTAAGCTTAAACCGTTTTGGTATGATTGGTTTTTTATTTGCATTTATGGTTTGTCTTATTCAAGTATTTCTTCGTTTTTTCTTGAATCTGTATTGCGCGTGGTAGGATTTGAACTCAAATTTGAAACTTTTTTTTATTTTATTGATTTATTTTGTCTGGAATCGGTTGATTGATCTAATAAGATGAACAGTGTCGGGAACTTGAATTTGGGAAACTACGGTTATTTTCACAAGAAAGGGTATTTTGTAATTTGGAATATAAAAATCAATATAATCTCTGTAGATGAAAAAGGTTAGATGAGTATTTGACTTGGCTGTGTAAAAAATTAGCAATAAAGCTGAGCCATGATATTTGATTAAATATGTTCAGAAGTTTCCAGGGAAGTAAAAGTAAATTGAGTGATTGAAAGTGCATATAATTCAGTTCCTCTTTTGCTCTGAAAGAGGTTGGTAAATGATAGATCTATTCATTAAAGGAAAGATCATTAACATAAACTGTGCCCCTGTTCCAAAAATCATGTTCTGTTAATGGTTGTGCCAGTATCCATCCTGATTCCAAGACCATAAATTTTCTGCAGCAATTAAATTGGTAAATATGTTTCTTGGATATAGAAGAGGAACACAGTTTGGACTTTAATGCAGAGTTTTTTAAGCATTTTACTTTCTACACCAAAAAGGCCTACCAAAGGCAGGGAATTTTGAAAATACTTTAGGTTCTCTGAAATAACACTAAAACATGGTGGGCAGTTGTGTATGGTGCTGGAGGAATGATCCAAATGATTAAATACTGTAGCAGGATCTGAGGTTATCTGTATCAGAAGAGACTCTGGCTATGATTTTTTTCTGAAAAGATCCAAAGTTAATATTGCTTATCATATACTCCATTAACAAATCAATGTTCTTCCCTGTATTATTAGATTGCTTTAGGTTTGGCTGAGGACTGATCTAACAGCTTATATTGGTTTGATATGAGATGACTTTACAATAATATCATCAGAACACCTTTGAGGGACATAGTTGCTAATACTTTTGTTTTTGCTTATGGTTTTCAACTTGATTGTACAAAATTGATTTAATGTGATGTTACTCCAATTTTTGTAATGGAAACTACAAAATTAATACATGAGTTTATTGGAAATATTACCAAATAGAATTTATTTAATGTATGAAAGTGGATGGCAAAGCAGGTAGACTACTCATGGAAATTCCAACATAGTCACTGCATTGTAAAATTGAATAGGACCTTAGTCACCTGTCTATTAAAAATCACAATTTTCTCCTTTACTACTGATTTATCATATACTTGACATTTTTCTTTATTAAAGATGCTTTGTTTGTTTTTATTTATTTATATATTCCAGAAAAGTGGATGGGGAAGCAGGTGGAGTCTTTACTGGTGTTTTAGTTCCTACAAACATAAAACTAAACGGATTGGTCGCGCCGTCCTTGTTCCTGAACCGGCGGCACCCGCACCCGCAGCTCCAGTGGTTTCTGGGAATCAAAACCACCCTACCACCACCATTGTGTTTCCTTTCATAGCTCCCCCCTCTTCTCCAGCGTCTTTTCTGCAGTCCGACCCTCCCTCGGCAATCCAATCACCACCAGGCCCACTCTCTCTTACCGCCGTCCTATCCATTAACAACGCATTTTCCCCATCCATGGCATCCTCAGCCTTTACCATCGGTCCATACGCTCACGAAACTCAACTAGTCACGCCACCGGCATTTTCTGCAGTGACCACAGAACCGTCAACTGCTTGTTACACTCCTCCACCAGAATCAGCTGGAATGACGACACCACCCTCGCCAGAAGTCCCATTCGCTCAGCTTCTGACTTCATCACTTGCCCGAAACCGCAGAAACAACAATGTGAGGTTCCCATTATCACAGTATGACTATCAGCCTTACACCTGCCCAGGGAGCCCGGGCAGCCGCTTCTCTGCCCGAAGGTGGGGTTCAGGAACTTTGACCCCAGTTTCTAGGCTAGGTTCGGGGGCCATGACACCGAGTAACGGCGGTGAACCTCCCTCACGAGACAGTTATTATGTTTTGGACACCCAAATTTCTGAGGTTGTTTCACTTGCCAACTCCGACAATGAGTCGGAACACAATGACGACACTACCCTTCATCATAGAGTTTCATTTGAGTTGACTGGGGGAGAAATTCCCACCGTGTCGCCACATAACCATCCCGAGTCAGCTGAAACCGTTCAACTGTCTGATCTGGCAAAGGAAGCTGAGTATTCTTCTTCTGTTCAAGAAAGTAGAAATGGGAGCGTGAAAGAGGAAGAACAGCAACATCATAGGTGGCCTGAGAAGCACCGGAGTGGTGCACTGGATTTGATGAGCAAAGACTTTGATTTTAACAATGTTAAACCAGAAGTGTTGGACAAGTCCAGCGTTGACTGTGAGTGGTGGACTAGCGTTGACTATTTCCCATTTGTGCAGCCTAAAGTCAGCTGACACCAAATTTGTCATGGCTATTGGCCTCAAAAGAAAAATAACAACAGGTAACTATTGTGTGTGCCACTTCTGGAACTACAAATGACAAGTGAATGATATTTCAGAGGGAAAGTTTTTTTTTGTTTTTTTTTTGTTTCAAGCATGTGAATAATCATATGTATACTTGGGATGTTGAATATATCTTAGCTCTGAGTCAAAGGGATATACAATGGATTTGTTTGTAGTGATTGACTGGGAAATCAGCTCTAGTATTCTGATTACTGTGTACACCCTAAGTTATGTTTAAATACAGTTGAGAATTCATTTGAGCATTGCAAGATATTTTATTCTATCCTTTCCCCCATTCACACAGGAGTGTACTAGTGTTGGTGGAGGCTCGAGGAGCAAAGATATATAGTTTGTAATGGGATGTATCATTAAATTATTTAGCAAGATAATAATTGGGGAGGAGCTGGAAAGCCAGCACATTGCCAGAGAATGTTCATTCATCACCTTAAGTGGCAATGTAAAAGAAACAATTAGGTGGGATCTATATGAACTTGATGGGATGATGGAAGGGCCATAGAAATGCAAAATAGCTAAAGTAATTTGATTATGAAAGAGTGGTCCACCCCCTCAGGGCATGCTTGATAGTTACATTGTTTGATTTGAGTCAAGTCCAGGTAAGGCCAAGCTGTGATCACATTCCTTAACCCCTCTCATTCAATGAACGTCCATTTGCTGGAATATGTTTAGTTTTTATTTTGGTTATTATAATTGAGGAACCTTTGAACTTGTTTGTCAGGGGTACGTGTTTTGTAATCCATAATAATAATACAACCCTTATTTTTAATGAATTTAGCCCTTTTTTAATAATAATAATAACAACAAGGGAAAATGGACAAATAAGCCCTCGAACTAATCGAAAAAAGTGCAAATCACCTCTTTTATAGGAGACTCAGTCCGGACGTCACCATTTGGGGTAGTTAACGGTGGAAATTTTTGATGAATTTTTTTGAGCATCTTCTTCAGTAAGTGCAGTTTACCCATACCAAATTTCAGCTAAAAATGCAATCGGGAAGGCAGTCAAATAATTGTTTGAAGATAACTGCGCAGTTAAACAGCGCAGTATATTTCAGAAAACTATTTGATTGCCTTCCCCCGGTTGAATTTTTAGCTGAATTTTGGTATGGGTAAACTAGACTCGATGAAGAAGATGCTAAAAAAAACTCATCAAAAAATTACACCGGAACCCCCCCCCCCCCAACGGCGACGACTGGATAGAGTCTCCTATAAAAGGGATGATTTGCACTTTTTCGGTTTTGGTCGAAAGCTTATTTGCACATTTTCCCTAACAACAACAATGATAATAATAACATCAACAACCATTTTATTTATGTACACCTATACTCAAAGCATACTTCAGTTCGTATTCAATTAGTAATTCAATTAGTAAGATACCGAAAATAACTACGAGAAAGTTAAAATAGTATTGTTTAATAAGTTCAATCAGAAAAATAACTTTAACTTTACATTTTTAATATTATTATACAATTCAATGTACAAAATAAAAAATTTAGCATAAGATAAGTTTTTTCAGGATTAAGTTTTTTCAGAACCCGAAAATTATTTGCAAAGTCTTAAGATATGAAAATCAACAAGGCCATTATAGGTGTTCCAAGTTGGATTTTTGGTAGTTGGGTCCCATTTCGATAAGATTGGTTAATGCCCGAATAAGAACATAAATAATAATTTTCAAAAGGAAAAAGGTGTAAATAGGTCCATGTACTAACCAAAAAAGGTCAAATAAGCCCTTACTTAGGAGGCTCTGTCCGACCGTCCTCATTTGGGGTGGTTCCTGGTGGAATGTTTTGATGAAATTTTTTGAGCATCTTATTCATCAAGTCTAGTTTACTCAAACCAAATTTCAGCTAAAACTTCAATCGGGAAGGCATCCAAATGAATTCTTGAAGATAACTGCGATTCTAACTGCTCAATTATTTTCAAGAATTCATTTGAATGCCTTCCCCAATGAATTTTTAGCTGAAATTTGGTATGGGTAAACTAGACTTGATGAATAAAATGCTCAAAAAAATTCATCAAAAAATTCCACTGGGAACCACTCCAAATGGCGATGACCGTACAGAGCCTCTTAAATAAAGGCTTATTTGACCTTTTTTTATTAGTACATGGGCCTGTTTGCACCTTTTTCCTTTTCAAAAACATCAACAATTCAAAATCGAACGTCATAACTTATCTTAATATTGCACTTAATATTGCACTCGAACCTTGATCACTTGGTCCAATTTTCCCACCACTCGCACAGGTAGCTCAGTTGGTCGAGCGGTGGGAAAATTGGACCAAGTGACCAAGGTTCGAAACCCGCAGCGGCCGTGTGGAAGTTACAGAACCTGAAATAAGGCTGGACCTCTGGTGCACACGTGTATAAGGCCTACCGCCGCTTTGCTGACTGAGTCACCGTGATTAACCTCCCCACCATCCTGTCGGTTCGGGATGGGGGGCCTTGGGTTTTGGCATTCAACCTTTTGGACCAAATAAATAACATCGATATATTATATTGATCTTAATGGTATCAGTTTTGGATTTTGATCAATCCAAGTCAGGTTACAGATCTTAGTGCGCCAAAATTTTCAAGTTCGGTCCAGGTACATACTTTAATAGGACTACCAAAATTGTAAAACTCATAAAGATAACATGACAAATTATATCGTACAACTGGCGCACCGTGATGATGGTGCGCTCGGTTGAAAAATGACGGAGTACTGTGTCTAGTTTTTTTATTTTTTATTGCTTTTGTTGTTAAAAAATGGTAATAACTTTTATATTTTTGATCCGATTTTTATAAAATTTATATCAACATTTTTTATTTTTCATGATATTTCAAATGAGACCAATATTGCTTATGTAATTTTAAGAAATTATCGAACTATTATACTAATGAGTATTATAAGGAAAATCGAACTAAATTTAATACAGGAAAATAATTGTGTAAATCACAATTAATCTTAAAATTGTGTATATAAAAAATTTATTGTATTATGTATTTATACATGTGAGTTACATATTTTTATACGTGAAGTTACATATTTCTACACGCGAGTTACATATATATACACACGAGTTGCATTTGACCTGCCTGAACGTGAGTTACATATATTTACATGTAAAGTTACATATTTTTACACGTAAAGTTACATATTTATACACGCGAGTTACATATTTATACACACGAGTTGCATTTGACCTGTCTGAACGCGAGTTACATATTTTTTTACGTAAAGTTACATATTTTTACACGTAGAGTTACATATTTATACACACGAGTTGCATTTGGCCTGACTGAACGTGAGTTACATATTTTAACACGTAAAGTTACATATATATACACGCAAATGTTAATATGTTAAAATTACATAGGCAATATCGGTCTCATTTGAAAGATCATGAAAAATAAAAAAATCTGATATAAATTTTTAAAAATCGGATCAAAAATAAAAAAATTATTAACATTTTTAAGAAAAGGAAAAATAAAATAACAAAGGCAAGATATACGAACTGTTTATTCACTCTCCCAGGTATACCATGCGCACGGTGGGACGATTGCATGGTATACAAATTGAGATAACATCTTTCAAATCGAGTATGGATGATGGATCAGATCCCAAATTTCTGTTCGACTCTTTATACCGCTAAAATTTAAAGTTTTGTAAAATGAAAAATAAGTATAACAAATAGGATTAAAAATTTGCAATCAATATATATATATATATAAGATGAACTTTTTAAGAGCATACAAAGCGCCACATAATCCTGCATTGTCATCCATCACATATAACAATTATTTAGTTATTTTTATACTCCGTACCTTTTATTTTTATTGGATTCTATTTTTAATTTGATTGCATATTGATATGGAAACAAATGACTTTAGATTCCGTCACTTTTGAAATAGATCGATTCCTAATCTAAATTAGGAAATCTTTATATGTTTACAAATTTCTAATTTTGTTTACCCTTAAGATGTTTTTTAATTAGATTGATTTCAGTCTCAGACTAAATCAGATCAACTCAAACTTTAATAATTATTGGACACAAAAAATGTAAAACAGAAATCTACCAGATCATATTACGTTAGACCAAATCAAACCCGAAAATTTAATTCAATTAAAAACGTCCTTATTAATGACGTTTTCCATGTGATGAAATAATAAGTAAAATGTAAAATCTTACTATTAAAAGTATGTACTCCATATTTCATACCAAGTTGAATGAGGAATATTAAAAAATATATTTTGAGGCACATAATAAAGTAAACTAGAGGACATGAAAATAATTAAGAAGCTTCTCTATGAATTCTTTAAAATCGGGTTCATAACAATTATGCTTAGTAGAGAAGCTTATGTAGAAGACCATTTATACTATTTTTCATATAATTTTTATTTATTTAACAAATAGAATATATATTTTTTTTCATGATTCGGGATATTCACCTATTCAACCTATTCAACTAGAATTTAATTAACTTCAGCAAAATAAACCGATTCCACCAATATTAGTATTATCAAACAGACTCTATATTTAGACTGAGTTTATTTTGCTTTTACGTCACATTATATATGATTCCGAAAACCAATCAAATTTTAAATTAGATAAATTACATACCCCGTGCATCGCATCAGCTTGAAACCTAGTAGTATATACGAGTAATTCAAAAAAAAACTATTTAACCGGCGTGAATGCGTGTTTGTGTTGTTATAAAAAAATTTCTTTTAATTTGGCATTATTATGTGATTAGAGGGGAAATATAAAGAATAAAGAATAATATTGGTATAATGCATCATAATCTTTCAAGATCCAAAATGTCCGAGAAAGTGACAATGTGACACCCCGATGAAGGGTAGCAAAACGTGAACCAGACGCCCAAACACCTGATATGGTATGGTATGTGCTCCGTAATATTCAATTGTACATTGCCATGATAATACAAGATCTTTTAAATTGAAACCGATGTTTCATAGATTCTTTTTCCTATTCATCAAATAACAAACCTTTATATCTTTTGTGGGCCAAAATGGGTCCCGTTTTTTTCGAAATTTTGGTAGAGTAATGATTCTTGAGTGATGGATATCTTTAATACGAGTATATAAAACTTGATTCTTGATTGAATTGACTGAATCTCTGCTCGTTTATGAAAAAAATATTTGAAATATTTATTTTTAATAAATTAATTAAAAAATTATATGAAAAACAACTTAAATAATCATTTACAGTAAGTTCAGCCAATATAGACAAAAAAGTAACTCTAATT